GGCCTGCAGGTGGAGTGGTGGGTGAGGCCCTGGACTCCCACGTGGCCACTGCGGCTTGAGTCCAGGTCCAGTGGCTGGAAAAGCACACAGGGCACATGTGTGTGCATGCCTCAAACCACTAAAGGAGAAGGGCTTGCAGCGTGGCCATCCTCTGTGGGGTGATTTCTCACTTTCCCTGTGTCTCTCTCTGGCAAGTGCATGCATCTTGTAGTCAAAAAAAAAAAAAAAAATGGGGGGAAGCGAAGGGATGATGAAGGCCGGGTGTGGTGTGCTTGGCGTGAGGGCCTGGGAGGCCGAGAGGAGCCCTCCGGTGGGAGGAGCTGGGCAGGCTCATCTCGGGCCTGCTTGGGGTCACCGGGGGCCACGGGACTTGGGCCCAGCACCATGAGTGAACGTCCTTTAACCCGATTTAGATTTGAGGCGATGTCACCATAGCCACTGTGTCAGCTCCTCCTGAGTTAGCTGGAAGGATTAAGGCTCACTAACTCACCTCCAGGACGTCTGACCATGTCACCTGTGATTGACAGAGCTGTAACCCCAGCTTCCTCATGCCCCGCCCCTCACCCTGCCCAGTGCACAGTGGGCAGCTGTATGGTCCAGGCCCTCCCCAGGGATGCAGTGCTGGGTCCCTGGGCCGAGTGAGCTGCGTGGAGGTCCCTGGGTGTGCGCGCTGAGCCTTTGTCCTGCCAGCGCCCCACAGAGGGTCAGAGAGTGAGCCCTGAGGCTGTTACAGGAGGGAGGGTGCAGAATCTTATTCTGTGCTGTGGAATCATTCTTACTCAGTGTGCAAAAACCTGCACGCCGCATCAGTGGGAGCTTGATCTTTGGGAAGAGAGCAGAGGGGAGGGGAGTTCTCTTCCAAACAACACCTATAACATTCAGTGGGAGGGATGTGGGGAGGCCCAAGTTAAACCCCAAATTGAAACAGTCCGGTGGCCATGGGTGGACCTGAAGTAGGGCCTTGGAATTCCAGGCAAGCCTGTCTTCGGAAGGTGTCCGCCGGTGAGGAAGCAGAGGAGAGGCAGGGCCCTGCAGGGCGGCCCCAGCGGGGAGGGAGCTGTCGGGCTTGCCAGGCACACCCGATGGTGGGGTGGGGGCACACTGACTGGGGATGTGGTCGCAGTGACCCCCAACTGAGAAGGCGAGGAAGCGTGCTGGCAAGGAGTAGGCCTCCCGCGGCCGGCCCTGATGCTCCCCTCCCCACTGCAGACAGGATCCGCGACTACTTCGGGGAGACCATTGCGTTCTACTTCGGGTTTCTGGAGTACTTCACGTTCGCCTTGGTCCCCATGGCCGCCATCGGGCTGCCCTACTACCTGTTCGTGTGGGAGGACTACGACAAGTACGTGGTCTTCGCCTCGTTCAACCTGCTCTGGTCCACCGTCATCCTGGAGGTGTGGAAGCGCGGCTGTGCCAGCATGGCCTACCGCTGGGGCACGCTGCTCATGAAGAGGCAGTTCGAGGAGCCGCGGCCCGGCTTCCACGGCGTGCTGGGCGCCAACCCCGTGACGGGCAGGGAGGAGCCGCTGTACCCCAGCTACAAGCGGCAGCTGCGTATCTACCTGGTGTCGCTGCCCTTCGTGTGCCTCTGCCTCTTCCTGTCCCTGTGCGTCATGATGGTCTACTTCGACATGGAGGCCTGGGCCCTGGCGCTGCACGAGGACAGCGGGTCCGAGTGGACCGGGGTCCTGCTCTACGTGCCCAGCATCATCTACGCCGTCGTGATCGAGGTCATGAACCGCCTGTACCGATACGCCGCCGAGTTCCTGACCTCCTGGGGTAAGCCGGGGTGCCTGCCCTTGCTCCTGCCCGGGGTCCGTCTGGCTCCGACCTCGACTGCAGAGGACAGGCGGCGCTCCGGGAGTTTGCCGAGGCACAAGGACGCTCCCCGAGTGGGAGGTGGACGCGCCCGCTCGCGGTCAGCGCTCACCCCTGTGTCCTAGGCGTCTCGCCAGCTCTTTGTCCTCCTCATCGTCACTCGGTCAGGGCACCGTGGAGTCACAAGTTATGTCACCATTTTAGGGATGCAAATACTGACGCTGCACCGCAGTAGAGGAGCCACTCCACCCAGACCCGTCTGTCCTGAACCTGTGCTCTTCTGAGTGCGCCCGCCCTTCACAGAAGGGCTGAGGGGCAGGTAGGCCGTGTCTCCCTGGGACCGGCCGGACACTGCGGCCCATGGCCTGAACGTCACCGTCAGTCAGTGTGCTGGGCCGACGACTCCATCGGCTCAGAGAGGGTTGTTCACGGTGTCTCTGTGGCGAGGAGGGGCTTGGCTAGAGCTTTTCAATGGCCTTTCTTTCTCGTTTACACAAAGAAGATGCTCTGTTCCTCCCCAGGAAGGAGGCTCTGCCTTAGCTTCATGGGCCACGCGGTGGCTTTTTGTTGTTTTACTTTTTTTTGCCATGGGGCCTATGTGCTCATGGGAGAGACAAGTAGAGAGGAAAAGCGAGATCACCCCCAGAAAGGATGGCCACACGGCCGTCCCTCCACCCTCCTCCTGGGAGTTGGGATGCACACAGAGCTGATGCGGGGTCACCCCACCTGCCGGCCCACAGAGTTTCAAGCGCACCTCTAACACTGCCCCCACGGTCATGGCTGAGAGAGATGACCTCCGTTTTAATATTTCAGAGAACCACAGATTGGAATCTGCCTACCAGAATCACCTAGTCCTGAAAGTTTTGGTGGTAAGTGGAGCTTTTGTGCCTGTCCTTTGTCATTATAAAACGGAGGCGTGCTACTGGGTCCTCGGGGAAGCACGACGCGTTTTCCTGTTCTCTGCCAGATGCATCGTGGCTTTCCCGGCGACCCCACATTTAACACATGGGAATGTAAACGTGGGCAGTCATTCCCGATTCGGGGAACAGATAGCTCACGCACTTCGCGCACAGACATCGGGCTGCTGATGAGCCCAGTGGCCGCTGCCTTCACGCAGGGAGCTGGTGCGTGGCCAGCAGGGAGGGTGCTCCGTGCTCTTTGCATGAGACGGTGGGCGTGACTCGCACTGAGTTCACTCCGGAAGAGGGCGCTGTGGGGCTTTGCCCTGCCCAGAGACCGCCTGACCGACTTAGAGGGCTCAGTTGTTTGAGACTCTCCTGCCCCCAACAGTGCCAGGTGCCCGCCTCGTCAAGACTTCTGGTATTGGCCTGTGCCAGTCTCTGTCAAGTTTCAGTCTTCCCCCTTCCCTCAAAAAATATTATTTATTTATTTCCATTTAGTATTATTTTTTCATTTGACCAGAGAGAGAGAAAAGGAGAAAGCAAGACACTAGGTCTGGGACTCAAACTATGGTCGGTCAGACAGCGGCCGGCCACTGAGTCCAGCGAGGTAACCATGACGCCGTCTGCGTCCCCCTCCCTCCCCTTTGGATCACATGGGGACAGCCTTTTCCAGCCTTCCCGGGCATTTGCTTGGCAGCACCCACACCAGCCAAGCACCTCCTGTCCCACTGCCCGCCCTCTAGCCCTCTCTAGGACAGGTCGCCGCCTCCTCACGCACTGACACCTCACTCCTGCACACGTAGCAGCCATTGCCTTGGAAGGTGGCACCCCAGTCAGCGGTGGCCGGCAGGGGTGGGGCAGAAAGGAAGCCCCAGTGAGGGGTGGCTGCGGCCTTGAGCAGCACAGCTGCTTGGAGAAATGGCACTTTGTAGCAGTGTCCTCCTGCCAGGTACCCCTGCCCCAGGTTGCCACCCTGTCCTGCAAGGTAGGGGACTTCCTGCATGGAGACAGCAGCTTCTCAGGTGACTGGGGCTGTGCCTGCGTTCCCTTGCTAGTGGCACTGGGGCCCACAGCACACAGAGGCTTCCTGTGCTGGCCCGTGTGGAGCATCCAGCTTGCCACGCTGCCCCACCAGCCCCTGGGGAGAGGTCTCGGCCCATAGCCACTCAGAGGCTTCCAGGGCTGGCCCCAGTGCTGCCTGGCCTTCCTGCTGTGTCTGCCAGGCTGGGGTGGGGTGGGCAGGGGGCGGGTTTC